GTACCAGAGCTGGCTGAGGGCAGCAGCGGGCTGAGGGCATGTGGAGGAGGGAGCTGGGCCAGGCTGCAGGGAATCTCCAAGCCCTGCAAGGGTCTATTCAGGGCTGGGAAAGGGTGGACCAGACAAGCAGAATCATGCAGGCAAGGACACCAAGGTGGGGATGCTGGCAGAGTGGGAGGGTATGATGAGAAAGAGAAGATGAGGCAAGATTGCCAAGGCTTTCAACACCAGGCTATGGAGCGTAAAGTGGGATAAACCAGATAAAACGTCCTCCTCAGACATGGCTGGGCGTTTCCCAGGAGCCCAGGGCTGCAGTAGACACTCAGCAGCTCACACATGATGCTGTGGGCTTGGGCACATGGTCCTATATGGCTCCTTGGAACTCTGCTCTGGGGATGGGGCCCAGGCTCCCATTCCCTTCACGGAAAGTCACTGTGTGCTGTGGCTGTGGGCTTGTACTGTGTCACTCAGAGCCCTAAGGTCCCTTTGTCCTGGCTTCACAAAAACCAGCTGTGAGACCTGGGCCTGTCTCTTCCCGTCTGTTTAGGGCCATGGAAGGACTAGGCTGGTTGCTTTCAGATGCTATTGGTTGTGGGGAAGTACTTCCAATGTTCTGTCTGTGTCTGATATATGATAAAAGTTTTATTTAAAATATATGTATGTATTTTAGATTTCTCTTGATTCAGTTATTTAGTTTTAAACTTACTTATTGCCTAAGTAATATGTGTTCATTACTGATAAATTTGAAAATACAGACAGGCATAGGGAAGAAATTTTAAATTGCTTAAAATCCCACCACTTTCTGTAACATTTTGGAATACGTCATTCAGATATTTTCCAATTTATTTTCAGATTAGAGATTGGTAGTGATTTTCATTTCCTTGCCTTATATATCAGAGATACACTGTATATTCCTTTATTGTGTATTCTAGAGCCCCGCTACTCAAAGTGTGGTTTGTGGGCCGGCTGCAGCAGCAGCGCCTGAGAGCTTGGCAGGAAGGCAGAATCTCAGCCCCATCCCAGACTGTAGGATCAGAACTTTTACTACGCTCCCTGAGCCATGCATATATACGTATTAAAGTTTGAGAAGCACCCTTTTAGAACATTAACTTATACCTAGACTTTATTTTCTTGGACAAGAAAACAGGAAACTCTCTCTAATGTTAGAACAATGAGACACCAAAAGGAGAACTTTGACAAAGCTAGACCCACTCATGTGTTCATGTTTTTACTCAAAATCTCAACAGAAGGATGCAAAAGATCTGAGGGACTTTTTTACTTATCCCAATTATTTAAAAAAATTTAATTATAAAAACCCTGTGATAATCCTACATATATTATTACATATATATTTTGTACAACCAATTTTTTTAGGGCAGTTTTCGGTTCACAGAAAAATGACAGGAATGTACAGAGATTTCCCATATACTCCCTGCTCCCACACATGCATAGCATCTCCGATTATCAGCACCCCCCACCAGAGTGCTACATTTGTTACAGTTGATGAACCAACCTTGACACATCATTATCACCCAAAGTCCACAGTTTATATTAGGATTCACTCTTGGTGTTGCACATTCTATGGGTTTTGACAAGCATATAATGACATGCATCCACCATCGTGGTATCATACAGAATAGATTTACTGCCCTAAAAATCCTCTGTGCTCTGCCTATTCTGCTCTCCTTCTGCCCCCACCCCCAACCTCGGGCAACCACTGATCTTTTTACTGTCTCCATAGTTCTGCTTTTTCTAGAACGTCACATGATTGGACTCATACAGTATGAAACCTTTTCAGATTGGCTTATTTCACTTAGTAATATGCATTTAAGATTCCTCCATATCTTTTCATGGCTGGGTAGCTCCGTTCTTTTTAGCACTGAATAATATTCCATTGTCTGGATGGACCACAGTTTCTTTATCCACTCACCTACTGAAGGACATCTTGGTTGCTTCCAAGGTTTGGCAATTACGAATAAAGTTGCTATAAACATCTGTGTGCAAGTTTTTGTGTGGACATAAGTTTTCAATTCCTTTGGGTAAATACCAAGGAGCATGATTGCTGGATCAAATGCTACGAGTATGTTTAGCTTTGTAAGAAGCTGCCAAACTGCCTTCCAAAGTGGCTGTCGCATTTTGCATTCCCACCAGCAATGAATGAGTGTTCCCCTTGCTCCATGTTCTCACCAGCATTTGGTGTTTTCAGAGTTCTGGATTTTGGCCATTCTAATAGGTGTGTGGTGGTCTCATTGCAGTTTTAATTTGCATTTCACTGATGTCATATGACATGGAGCATCATTTCATAAGCTTATTTGTATATCTTCTTTGGTGAGGTGTCTGTTAAGGTCTTTGGCCCATTTTTTAATTGAGTTGTTTGTTTTCTTATTGTTGAGTTTTAAGAATTTTGTGAATATTTTGGATAACAGTCCTTTATCAGATTATGTCTTTTGCAAATATTTTCTCCCAGTCTGTAGTTTGTCTTCTCATTCTCTTGACTGTCTTTCAGAGAGCACAAGTTTCTAATTTTAATGAAGTCCAGCTTATCACTTACTTCTTTTATGGCTTTGTGTGCCTTTTGTGTTGCATCTAAAAAGTCATTTCCATACCCAAGGTCAAGTGGGTTTTCTCTTGTGTTATCTTCTTCGACTTTTATAGTTTTGCATTTTTACATTTGGGTCTGTGATCCATGTTGACTTAATTTTTGTGAAGGGTGTATAGTCTGCGTCCTGGTTCATTTTCTTAACATGTGGATGTCCAGTTGTTGAAATGACTGTCTTTTCTCCATTATATTGCCTTTGCTCTTTTGTCAAAGAGCAGTTGACTGTATTTCCATGGATGTATTTCTGGGCTGTCTATTCTGCTCCACTGATCTATTTGTTTGTTCTTTTGCCAGTACGACACTATCTTGATTACTGTAGCTTTATTGTAAGCCTTGAAGTTGAGTAGTGTCAGTCCTCCAACTTTGTTCTCCTTCAGTATTGTGTTGGCTGTTCTGGGTCTTCTGCCTCTGCATATAAACTTTAGAATTAGTTTGCCAATATCCACAATATGACTTGCTGGGGTTTTGATTGAGACTGCATTGAATCTATAGATTAAGTCAGGAGCAACTGACATCTTGACAATGGTGAATCTTCCTATCTGTGAACATGAAATCTCTCTCCATTTATTTAGTTCTTCTTTGATTCCTTTCATGAGACCTTTACAGTTTTCCTCATATAGGTCTTGTACATATTTTGTTAGAGTTATACTTAAGTATTTCACTTGTTTGGGTGCTAATCTAAATGGTACTGTGTTTTTAATTTCAAATTCTACTGGTTCATTGCTTGTATCTATGAAAATGATTAGCTTTTGTATATTAACTTTGTGTCCTGCAACCTTGCTATAATCACTTATTTGTTCCAATTTTTTTGTCCATTCTTTCAGATTTTCTACACAGACAATCATGTAATCTGTGAACAAAGACAATTTCTTCCTTACCAATCTGTATTTTCTTTTCTTGTCTTATTGCATCAGCTAGAACTTCCAGTATAATGTTGAAAAGGAGTGGTGAGAAGTGACATTCTTGCCTTCTACTTGATCTTAGAGGGAAAGCTTCGAGTTTCTCACCATTAGGTATGCTGTTAGCTGTAGGGTTTTTTGTAGATATTCCTTATCAAGATGAGGAAGTTCCCCTCTACTCCTAGTTTACTGAGAATTTTTATCATGAATGAGTGTTGGATTTTGTCAAATGACTTATCTGCATTTATTGATATGATCATATTATTTTTCTTCTTTAGCTTGTTGATGTGATTGATTATATTAAGTGATTTTCAAATGTTGAACCAGTCTTGCATACCTGGGATAAATCCCACCTGGTTGTAGAGTATAAGTCTTTTATACAATATTGGATTCTATTTGTTAATATTTTGTTGAGGATTTTATATCTATACTTGTGAGAGATACTAGTCTATAGTTTTCTTTTCTTGTAATGTCTTTGTCTGGTTTTGGTATTGGGGTAATGCTGGCCTCATAGAATGGGTTAGGAAGTAATCCCTCTGCTTCTAGCCTCTGAAATAGATTGCAGGGAATTTATACAATTTCTTCCTTAAATGTCTGATAGATTTCACCAGTGACCCCCATCTGGGCCTGGTGCTTTACATTTTGGAAGGTTATTAATTATTATTATTATTGGCGAGGAAGATTGTCCCTGAGCTAACATCCATTCTCAGTCTTCCTCTTTTTGCTTGAGGAAGAGTATCCCTGAGCTAACATCTGTGCCAATCTTCCTCTATTTTATATGTGGGACACTGCCACAGCATGGCTTGATGAGCGGTGTATAGGTCTGCGCCCGGGATCTGAACCCATGAACCCCAGGCTGCCAAAGTGGACCACGCAAATTTAACCAGTACGCCACTGGGCTGGCCCCTGAAGGTTATTAATTATTGATTCAGTTTCTTTAATAGATATGGGCATATTCAGATGGTCTCTTTCTTTCTGTGTGAGTTTGGCAAATTGTCTCTTTTGAGGAATTGGTCCATTGCATCTAGGTTATCAAATCTGTGGACATAGAGTCATTCATAATATTCTTTTATTATCCTTTAATGTCCAGAGGATCTGTAGAGATGTCCCCTTTCATGTCTGATATTAGTAATTTGTGTCCTCTCTCTTTTTTTCTTAGCCTTGCCAGGGGCTTATCAATTCTACTGATCTCTTCAAAGAACCAGCTTTTGGTTTCATTGATTTTCTCTATTAATTTCCTATATAACCAATTTTTATGCCTTGGAAACAAATACATTAAAATTTGGGTCTTCATTGATTATAAAAAGTAAATGTTATAACTTCTAACTTAAAAGGTAAAATACATTTGCACTAGCAAGATACTGCTTTTATTTCTTATACACAGGAGCTCTGCTTAAGACTTCATTTGAAACAAGAAGTTGCTAAAAATCTTTGAAAAGCACTCAATGATGTGATCTCCAGGGGCTCTTCCATGGCTGTGTGATTCAGTGGATAAAACACTATTGTGATCACATGTTTTTATTTTTTAAAATCCATCTTTTAGTAAACCATAAAGCCACATAAATTAGTCAAGTTTGGATGTGCTGTTGGATAAAGTCATCTGGAACACAATACAGGGTGAGAGCACTGGACTAGAAATCAGGATGTCTGGTCTTCATGCTCGTATTGCTCAGCCTCCATGTGACAGTCCGAATGCTTTTGTTTGGTGGTGTCAGAAACCCACCTCTAATGAGGTTGAGCTTCAGGTATGGCTACATCCAGGAGCTCAAATGATGTCACAAAATTCAGGCTTTCTCTATCTCTTGGCTCTGCTTCCTCAGCACTGGTTCTATTCTCAGACAGGTTGTAACAGCCTCTAGGCTCACATCCTTGTAGATCCCACTTCAGAGAAGAGAGAATGCTCCATTCCCCAGTGGTCCACCAAAAAGTCATGGAGTTATCTGATTGAACCAATTTAGATAGTGTGTCCACTCTGAACCAATGACTATGAAGGGGTGATGGTGGTGGGGTGACCGTGACGGTGGTAGAACTCAATGACAAGTCAAATCCAGATAACAAGGGTACTCCTGGAGCTTAGATGGGAGTCTGGTGCCACCTCAACCATGTGGCCTAAGTTGAGATACCAAAGAAAAATTAGGGTGCTGTTACCACAGGATTGGAGAATGGATGCTGGACAGGCAAAGCAATTCTGTAAAAACAAAAACAAAACAGTTTCTAAGCTCAGTCTCTACGTGCCTTGAGGGGACTACCGCTGTGAGAGCTCGGTGTGAGGAGGGTGTGACCGACAGGGGGACCAGCACCTGTTCTGAGATGGACAGAGCCCGGAGGCACGTTGCTGTGCCAACTCGGCTGGCAGGCAATACCTGGTTGAACAGAAACACGTGGTATTTAACAAACACAACAGGCTTCACAACACGTGAACTCTTGCCCTCACGAGGCTGGTCACCAACAAAGGGCTGGCAGAGAGACTCCGACTAATGACATTCTGATGGGCTTGGTTGACGCTTGCCCTGCTTATCCGAGAGGGAAATGTGCCTGTTTCCCTGGGGAAACGCGACCAGGGAGGCGCTTCTGCCTCTCTCCCCTGTGATCTTGTCTCTCAGAGGCCAGCAGGGATCAGACTGGAACTGCTGACATCGTCAGCCCCGGGGGAAAATCTGTGAGGCCCAGCCAGATCTATTGATGCCAAATTTGACCACGTCATTGAGTTATTCACACTTGAAACTGCTGATGGTTCACTGTAATTGTTGTTGAAACCTCCATGGAGGTGATTGGGAAGGCACTCTTTGATGAATGGCCATCTCTTTCTAGTTTCTGAGGCAGAAAAAGGAAAAAAAAAAGTTTTCCCTTTATTCAGGAGAAAAAGGCTTGACTGGGGCGTGCTGCCTTCTCCTTCATTTCTGCCTGTTCAGCTTTCCCTTGGGGTAAAATTGCCTCCTCAGCCTTCCCAGGTGCCCCTCCCAGGAGGAAACAGCCCCCTCGTCCGTGTACCCTTGACCCTGACTTACCAAGAGCCGCCATGCCTCCCAGCTTCCACTCTGCCCCGTTCTCAGTCCACTCTCCCTGTAACAGCCTGGGTGACCATCACAGACGTAGATCAACTGGTCTCTACCATTGCCCTGTTCACGCCCCTTCGGTGGCCTCCCGTCACGCTCAGATAAAACCTAAGCTCTTCTGGGCCTAAAAGGCTCTGTGTGACGTGGCTCTGGGCCCTCCTCTCTGACCCCATCTGTGTCTCGATCCACTTTGACTCATTATACCCCAAACATAATTTCCCTGATTTTAGTCCCTTGAACATGCTGCACTCTTCTATCATGCATCGCCTTCACACATGCTGCTCCCTTATTCTGGAATGCTGTTCCCACACTCTTTGTACGGCAGGCTCCTTCTCGTCTTTCACCACTTCAGAAAGGTGACCTCCTGCTTCAATGAGTCCCCTTTTCACTCCTTTCATAGCGCTCCGTGCTGCTCCTGCTTCCTTTAAACACATGACATGTGCAGTGGCATGTTTGTTTATTATCTGTCTCCCCCTTAGACTGAGAGCTTCATGAGCGCAGGAGCTCTGTTGGTTTGTGTGTCGTGTTCACTGCTGTACCCCCTGCACCTGGCACTCAGTGCGGACGTCATACCTTTTTGTTGCCTGGAAGAGGAGAGGGTTGACATTCTGTCTCCTGGTAGGCAGGGCTTCCTTCTGTGTTCGTCCTTCTGCCTGTGGCTGATTTCTCCTCCCAAGAGGGGAGTGGGGTGGGGGGCTGCGGCACGCTTATCTCGGTCTCCCTCAAAGCACTTAGTGTGGTGTTTGGCCTGCAGTGGGAGCCCCAGGGGGTTGCTGAATGAACTCACGTTGCACGTGCTCTCCTCTCCCCCCAGCTGCGTCGCCAGCTGCTCCTGGAGGAGGGCAGAGAGCGACCTACAGGGCGGGGCTGCAGAGTTGCCAAGCCGTGGCAAGATCTAAACTCTCTTTCACTGGTGCTATGAGGTTCCTGAGATTCCAGTACAGCAGGGCCGGGGCACGCTCCAAGACTCATCTTCCCAGGGGCGGCACACCTGGATGAGGCACCGCCTGAACTGGGCCTAGGGGGCTCCCTCGGGGGCAGGGAGGGTGGGGGATGCAGGGACAGCCCTGGAGCCCCCAGGCTCTCACTTCAACAGGCATTCATTCAGCAAATAGTTGATTGTGTTAGGGTCTGTGGGGGCCCCTGACCTCAGAAGGCTCAGAGTTTAGTAGACCAGAACCATGACTTGCCCCTTTCTAGCTCTATGATCTTGGATCTATTACTTAACTTCTCCAAAGCCTCGGTTTCATCCTCTGTAAAACGGGGTAATAAGTGTACCAACCTCACTGGTGGTAATTCAGTGAGTTGACGCACAGAAAGTGCTTAGGGCAGGGGAGGCTCAATAGGGGTTGGCAGTATGATCTGCTGTGCTGGGCAGCGACAAGAGTCACCCGTAGCCCCGACCGCCGCCTGCTTCCCCTTGTCTCTAGGCAAGGCTGCCCTCTGGTGGTAATCATGCGGAATGCCACCGGCCTCAGCCCCTGCCTGCTCGGCCCCCATCCCGCACGCACCATTCCAGTCTCGGTCTTTCCTTGCCTGGTCTACCATATTTCCCGGACCTTCCCATTTTGCTAGGTTCCCAAGGCTGCCCTTCCTGGTCAACAGGGTTCTCTTCTCAGTCGTCCCAGAGCTAAGGGACCAGTCAGCAGAGAGGCAGAGGGAAGCCTCGGTGTTCACGGGTTCTCATCCAGCACCAAGCTGCTTCTTTCTCTCAGAACAGCACCCCACTTCCGTCTGGAGACTCCTCTCCCCGCCACGACGCGGGCCCGCCCATGAGTGCGTCACAGCTGCCAGGGCCAGTGATTGGCATAGCCTGGGCATGTGACTGGGGCCTGGCCAATGAGAGCATCACAGCCCCTGGCTTAGTGATTGGTGTAGGGCTGGGCATGTGGCTGAGACTTGAATTTTGGCGGGAGGTTTTGGTTGAAAGGGTCCTCTGTGTCCATAGGTACAGCAGGCCAGAGTGTCAGGGAGTCAGTGGCACCAAGGAGCAGCTGGGCCTGGGACTAGGGTGGGGCGAGTAAGGTGTCCAGTGTACAAGATGTAAGGAGTCCTGGTCCCAGCCCTGGAGCAGCCCTCAGCCAATGGCTGATGGGGGCTGGTGGATAAATGCCTCAGTTCCCTTTGGGGTGCACTCTCTCCCCTGTCTCTCCCACCTCCCCCGTGAGATTAGGCTCTGACACCCACAGAGTTATCTGCTTCATTCCCTCCTCCGGCTCACTTCCCATTCCCCACCAGAGTTTCCTGTGATCACTTCCCAATAAACCGCTCGTACTCAAATCCTTGTCTCAGGGTCTGCTTCTGGGGGAGCCCAAACCAAGACACTGGGACTCCTCCTGCTAGCTGTGGTTAAGGGATGTTGCAGTACTAGGAACTGTCAGCAGCCATCTTACCAGCCGTGACGGGCAAACCCTCCAAGAAAGGAGCTGACACAGAGGAGAGTAGAACTGAGAGACGGCAAGTGATGTGATTTTACGGAAGTTTTGCTATAAGGATCATATACAGCAGTTCAGACACGATGAAATTCTCTGTTAGATCTCTCTGTGCTCCTGTATTTTTTCTCCTTCAGCCAGCCACCTCCCCTCTTCTCCTCTGCCCTCTCCAAAAATCCTGTTGTCTGGAAGTATTCACCTCTGTCTCTCCCAGCTTCTGCACCCACTCAACAAGAGTGGTCTCCTTTGAGATCCACCTTTCTGGAAGTTGTTCAGATGTACTCAGGGAATTGTAAAGAAAAAGTAGAAAGGAGTGAGTGTATGCTGGTATGATGGGATGTGGTGTGCGTGTGTGGTATGTGTGCATGTGTGTATGCGTGTCTGTGCTTCATGTTGTATGCTCCAAGTTCAGGAGATACGGTAAGGCCTTGTCTACTGGGAACTCACGTGGGAACCCAAAACCTGGACCGGCGGCCTCCTCCTCCTTGCTCATCTCTTTCTGTCTCTCAGAAACTTTGTGTCTCTCTTATCTCTGATGTTCTCAGTCATCTGTCTCTTTCTCCTCATCTCTGCCTCCTTCCTCTGCTTTTTTCGGACCAATGTGATCATCAATCTGCACGTCCTGACAGCCTGACCTCAGTTCAAATTCTCCACAAAGAATCGGACAGGCTCTGTTCAGCTGCCAATAGATGAGCTTCCTTTGGGCCAGGCCCTTTTTGTCCAACCAGCTGTGGCCTTGGTGCTGGGGGCGGGGCCTTGGGGAGGTGGGCCAATGAGATATCCTCAACAGCTCCACCCCTTACAGGTGTCTCCTCCAAGATCCTCTGGATGGTGTCTGGGAGGGAAGATAATAATGATAACAAGAGCCAACAGCGGCTGAGCACTTTTTCAAATCTGGCACGGGACACACGTTACCTCTCTTGCAACGAAATTTTGTCGAAGTATAACAAGTGCACAAACCTTAAGTGTACAACTCTCTGCATGTATTACTTCTTTTAATTCTCACAGCAACCTCGTGAAATGGGTGCGATTATCATCTCCGATGTACAGGTACGAAAACAGGCAAACAGGCTCAGTGAAGTCTGTCCACTCACCTAAGGAGTGGATCTGGGATTTGAACCAGGCAGTAGAACTCTAGAATCTGAGGGCCTCACCACTACTGCATACTGCTCATGTCACCAAGTCACCTTCAGGGAGGGGCATAACCTGTGGTCCTGGGCAGCAACAGGGAGACGAGGCAGGCGACATTAATTTCCAAAGTGCGTAGGGTGCTAGGTGGAAGAACTCCAGCCTGGCTCTCCCTACTCGGCCATCCTTCCTCCTCCCCCTCGGGGCCACTTGGCGCCTTCCTCTGCTTTCCCCGGGCAGCACAGCTGCAGCTGGAGGCAGTCTCTGGGAACCACCACACGGCTTTATGATGTGCAGATGGTGTTTCCGCCGAGCCCCTCACTTTTCATGTCGGTGGCCTCTGGGAGCTGGGCCAGCCCAGATGTCCCTGGTCGTGAGAAAGCCTCCCCTGGCAAGGCTGGCACGAGATGCCAGTGACGGGGGCCTCAGGCCAGCCCTGGCTTGGCTACTCTGGTGAGAGGGCTTGGGGGGATGCTTGTGAGGCGGATGGTTCCATGTCATTTTTGTCTAGCCCTGTGGATTAGGATGGGGTGTCCGCAGAGCCAGGAATATCACTTCTGAGTCCACCCACAAACAGACAGAGACACTGCACAGCTAGCTTTTCAAAGGGCCTCTAGATTGATCTCTTTTTTCCATACATGTTGTTTTATCTGACTCTTGAGCTATCTCTGGGCACAGACTGCCTCTCCCATCAGTGGAGGTGCCCTCCTGGGACAGGAACAATCTCACCCCATCAGTGATAGACTGGGCCAAGATCAGGAGCCGTGTGTCTCCTTCATCAGACTGAGAATTCCACAATCAGGGATAAATGTGTCTCCCCCATCACACTAAGCGTCAACAATATTGGAGAAACTGTGACTTTGCTATCTGCTATCAGACTGAGAGTTTCCCAAATCAGGACAATGTGACTCTCCCGTCAGACTGGGAGCTCTCAGGGTTGAGAACCACGTGTCCGTCTCTTTCATGAGGCTGAAAACTCCCCAGGGATGAGGTGAGAGCCCAGCAGCTCCCTGAGAGTGGGGCGATGGCACCCCTTCATCTCTCCCTGCCCAGAGTGTTCAGACCAGGCTTTGCCCGCAGAGGGCGACTATGGCAGCAGAGAGGCCTGCTGACAGCCTGGGGGCAGGCAGCCTGCAGCCTGGACTCTGCAGACCTGCCCCGGGCCCAACCACCTGCGGAGGGTGGGGACAGTGTCAGCCAAAGTGGGTGCTGGAGATAAACGGGTGAGGAAGATGAACTGTGAGATTTGTGGGCACCTGTCTTGTGACCTGCTGTAGAACTCAGCTTCTGGCTTGGGGCTCACTCAACAAGAGCTCAGTGATGATGGCTGAATGAATGAATGAGTGAGTGAGTGAATGAAGGCCTGGTTCCTGCCCTTGAGAAGCTCATACTCTACCAGGGAAGGGAGGAAGCTCACTTCTCTTGAGTGCCTCCTCACGCTGGACATAATTTTAGGCTCTTTCACGTATATTACTTTATTTAACCCTGAAAACAACCCTAGAGAGTAAATTGCATTTTCTCCACTTTACAGATGAGGAAATTGGGACTCAGAGAGGCAAAGCAACCTGTCTGAGGCCTCACAGCTGGGGAGTAAGGGAGCTGGGATTTGAACTGAGGTCCTGTGATCTCCAGACGTGATCCCTTTTCCTGGAGAAATTATTGTTATTTAATTTCAGAGCTACCCAAGACAGATGTGGATGAAGTGGCATGGGAACTGAGGGAGAAGGAAGCTCAGGAAGTCTTGAAAGAAGGAGTGACATTGGGGATGGGTTTTGAAGGATGAGTAGGAGTTCACTAGACAGAGAAGATGGGGAGGCATGGTTAGAAATGGAGGACAAATTGTCTACCTAGAAGATCCCCTTCAGGGGTTGGTGAGCAGGCTATCTCCTCCCACAGGTGCTCTTCTGCGGCCCTGCCTCTCCGGGAGCGGGGGCTTCCTCCTCTCTTTGGGAGGACATACAGATGGAAGCCTGATCTCATGCTGGCACATCCCTGCTGAGATGGCAGGAGATCTTTGCTGTGAGCTTCCCGCCCTGGCGCCGGGGTCAGCTGTGCTTTTAGGAGGCAGGAAGGGTGGTTGGGGGGCTGGCTGTGATGAGAAGTTTTCTCTGTGGGCCCTCTGAAGGGGGCAGGGCAGTGGCAGAGGAGCTGGACCCTGGTTCTGCATCTGGTCGGAAGGAGGAGGCAAAGAAAGATAAGGGTGGGTGAGTTGTTGCCCATGCCTGTGACCAGGGGCCCTCTCTCTCTGCTTTAGAAAGCAGGTGACAGTTTACCATGTCCCCTGTGAGTGTGGACATCCCTTAGACGCATTTCCTGGCTCTGGCGTTTGAGGACAGGCAGGTGCTGCCTTCTCCTGGGCGGGAGCGCAGAGTAGGTCTTCAGTAGATTCCTGATTGCTGATCGATGGTCAGACTTTGTGAATTCATCATTTTGCTACAGCTGGGTACCATGAAGTTCTACTCCTAGTTAAGCTCATCCGGGTCCTGTTAGAATGGCAGATTCAAGGAGGTCGGAAGGAAGGAGCAGCTCCTCTGGACCTGTGGATTTTAAATTGTATGTGTGTTGGAATCAGCAGAACCTTGAAAAAAGCTCGGCAATTTTACCTGAAGCCCAGTGTGTGTAACAGAGAAAAGCACGGAGCTCTGCTTGGAAGGACGTGGGGGACGCAGAGCAGTCCCCACTCAGTTCCCTCTCGACCTCGCCTTGGCCCCTCCGGAAGGTTCATGGAACCCCAATTCTTCCCAGCACCTGAATATCTCTGGTGCATTCCAACTCCGGAATTTTAACACTGGGACAGCTGAGACACAGAAAGGGCAATGATTTGTCTGAGGTCGTATGAGTAGTGGGTATGTGGAGTGGTACCCCCCAAATTCCTAGACTGAAACTCAGTGTTGGGGGTCTGTTCGGTTGTACCACCGGCTCTGATGCCATCTCCTCCAGGCCCCCCATCCAGGCCAGTGCAGCACCCATGACCCATGGCTTTGGGCTCCAGGCCCTGCTCCTCGACAGGACAAGAGAAGCCCTACCCGTGAGAGTAGACCCTGTCCCTTTGGCGGGAGGGCAAGCTGAGGTCAGGAGAGGCCAGGCTCTTGGTGGTGGGGGGTCAGGTGGGGTGTTAACGCAAGACGGGGTCAGAGGTGCCCTTGTTCTCTTCCTTCAGGATCTTCACCTGTCTCAGGCTCAGTCAGCCAAGGGAGATG